GCACGGTCGAAAAGGAGGGTCTTGAAGGAGGCAAGAGACGGGCGAGATAGAGGGACTGTGGGATGGAGTTCCAAAGGGTGGGGGCAGAGAGGCTGAAGGCCCGCCCATACTGCTTTACCTTCACCACCACACATAACCAGTTTCCTCTTTTGTGCCAAGCATTTCAAAGCCCATAAAAAACCCTTAGCAGTCTTAAATGCCCAAGGCAATCCAAGAATTGAATGCATTCATAGAATTATACAGCACAGAAGGAGGCCATTCGGCCCATCATGTCTGTGCTGGCTCCTTGAAAAGAGCTATCCAAATCTATCCCACTTGCCAACGCTCTCCCCATAGCCCTACACACTTGTCCTCCCCAAATAATTATCTACTTCTCTTCTAAAAGCTGTTATCGAATCAGCTTCCATCATCCTTTCAGGCAATGCATTCCAGATCCGAACAACTCGCTGTGTGAAAAAAATTCTCCTCACCTCCCCTGTTCCTTTTAACAACTATTTTAAATCAGTGTCCTCGGGTTACCGACCCACCCACCAGTGGAAATTGTTTCTCCTTGTTCACCCTATCGAATCCCCTCAAAATTTTGAAAACTTCTAGTAAGTCTCCTCTTAACCTTCTCTGCACCAAGGAGAATAATCCTAGCTTCTCTAACCTCTCCTCATAACTGAAGTCCCTCATTCCTGGTACCATCCTGGTAAATCTGCTTTGCACCCTCTCTAATGCTTTGACGTCCTTCCTAAAATGTGGGGCCCAGAACTGAACACAGTACTCTAGCTGAGGCCTAACCAGTGTTTTATAAAAGTTCATCATAACTTCCTGACTTTTGTATTCTATGCCCCTATTTATAAAACCTAGTGTCCCATATGCTTGTTTTTAACAGTTTTATCTACCTGTCCTGCCACCTTCAAAGATTTATGTATATGAACCCTCAGGTCTCTGTGTTTTTTCACTCCTTCTACCATCAGCTTTTATTGCCTCTCCTCATTCTTCCTCCCAAAAGCCATCACTTTGCATTTCTCCACATTAAACTTCATCTGCCACGTGTCTGCCCATTTTACCAGTCTGTCTGTGTCCTCTTGCAGTCTATTACTATCCTTCTCACTGTTTACTACTTTTCCTAGCTTAGTATCACCTGCAAACTTGGAAATTGTACTCTCTACACAAGTCCTGGTCATTTATATAGATCAAAAACAACAGTGGTCCAAATACTGATATTTGGAGGACACCACTGCACACATCCCTTCAGTTAGAAAAACAACCGTTCATCACCACTCTCTGCTTTCTGTCTCCCAGACAGTTCTGTATCCATGCTGTCACTGTCCCTTGAATACCGTAGGTTTCTATTTTGCTTGAAGCTATATCAAACGCCTTTTGAAAATCCATACAAACAACATCAACTGCACTACCTTCATCCACCCTCTCCGTTACTTCATCAAAAAACACTTATCAGGTTTGTTAGACATGATTTGCCTTTAATAAATCCGTGTTGGCTGTCCTTTATTAACCCATATTTTTCAAAGTGAAAATGTATTTTGTCCCAGATTATAGTCTTTAGATGTTAGGTTGACTGGCCTGTAGTTCCCAGGTTTATCCTTCTGCTTCAATATTTGGGAAGCATTTAAAGATCCCTTACATTCCCAGATACAATACTGGAAAAGAATAGTCATCTGAAGAGTGATCTTCTGGCTTCCATACTCCCTGGCAATGCTGCAATGTTTCACATTTTTCTTCAGTTTTAATTAACATAACATGATGGTCATTGCTCCCCCAAATTTCCTCCTCTTTCTCCCAATTCTTGAAAAGGTTCTTCTTAGCGGTTCTTCTTCACTGCTTTATCACAAATCTCACTACTCTTTCTGATATCACCAAACCCTTCCCTGACGCTTCTCGTTTTCTATCTCTCTCTTTTCACCTTGGCAGTGTATTGCACCTTGTGCCTTGTCCTTCACTTAGGTTCTCAATTTGAGTACAAAAGCTGAGAGGAATTATTGATTTCAAATTCAAGGGAGCTGAATGTCGATTTTCACCATTATTAATCCAATATTTAGCTCATAAAACAGACAGTCACTTCACCATTAGTGTATTCTGTGAAGCGCTTTGAGATGTCTCGAAGACGTGATAGGGCACTATAAACAAATGTAAGGACTATTATTATTATATATGTTCTTTCATCCACGGTACTTTTCTCAGCAAATCTAACCAAAGATAACTTTAAGAAAAAAGTTGAAATTATGTTGAATGTATGGCTCTCCAGATAACTTTTCACAATCCATGCACTAGTTTTAAAATATCAACTTTAGACAATTCACCATTTTCATAGCAGTTTTTAAAAGGTACTTTGGTGTTGTAACAATTTCAATTTTTTTGACATTTCGTGGTAATATTTGATCCATAAATACTTTATTTGAATGGATTTTGCATTTGTTCGCATTTTTAGAATTGGGTTGTAAATACAGAAAAAAAACTACCAAGCATGTCTTGTCTGATAGGTGCATTGCCATCCTTCTCTCCAAAAATACATTGCATGTTGCCAGCAGTCAACCAACACATCAGGGAAAAACACTATAGCTTCTGACTCAACTGTATTGATTGCAAATATTCTTAAAACCATCAGTAAAAGATTTCTAGTTCTTTTAACACAACTTTAATGAGCATACATCAATAACTTCTCTGGAAGCGATTGCCACGGGCTAAGCATGTAAACAGAGATTAAACACACCCTCCCGAGAAGCAAAGACAAGTTATAAAATAAGCAAGCAATTTATTTTACAAAGAGAGAACTGCAGGAAATAGGGGGTGATTAAGAATCAGTGACACACTCAAAGGCAAATTGAAACAGCCTGCAATGTAGACAGGACATCTTGTAATTTGAACAGGATTCATCCGCACCACGTACTGAGTAGGCGTTCAGCACTCAAGTGGTCCATGCTAAAAGCTGCCCACAAGTCCGCATGCAGTGTACTTGACAGAACATAGATTAATTAAAGATTAACAGATCCCATAAGCAAGATGATACATAGGACATGTGCACACATTCACAACACTTGAAGGTGGGTAATTAATTCAAACCTGCAGAAACCTCAGCACTTCAAAGGATTTTTGTTACCCAAGCTCCTGGTTGCAAGTATGCATTTAACAATTACCAAAAAGTCTATAGTATCTTTAACAATGTTTTCTATTTCATCTATGTTAAAAACAACTTTTAATCTTTCAAATGGAAAAAGGGGTCATGAATAGAATCCTACAATATTCGTGACATCCACTATTTCAAATGAAGTACTGCTAATGAATACATCTGCTTCACAGAATACATCCCACAAAAGCACACAACTACAGCTGGTTTTGTTGAGAAGTCTACATATTTTTGTGGTCATGGTTTACTAAATTTTAAATAAATCCATGTTTATAGGTAATTTTGCTTTTCTATCACATGTATCCTTAAATATTACAACTTACAACACATTAATATGTAATCACATACAATATAGCACACTTAAATTTCTAATCTGCAAAACAAATCAAGTCTGACTATTTTTATCCCAATTCCAACACAATCCCAAATCTAGGACACAAAGGGCTGGAGGGAAATCTAAATTTATCCTACAGCACAGTTTCCAGTATTCCCACACTGTGCTGATGATTACTTCAGCAGGAGTCAAGTAAACCTCTGCCATGACCAAATTATTCAGTCTAAATTTTCTAACCAACTGCAAATCATTTATAAAAAAACAACTGCACCAAACAATTCTCATTCAATATAGTTCCAGCAAATGATCATGCTACAAATTAAGATAACTACTACCCACAACTTATCAATCATAAACCACAGCGGAATCTTTTGAGAATCAAACGCAAAATTCAATTAAACCAAATAATTTGTAACTTCTACTATGAACAGGGAGGGCAATTGTTCAGAGCAGAAGTTTGAAATCATTTAACTTGACATAAAGTTCTCAAGCACAGTCTTCTTACAGCCCACAAACAGAAACCACTGACACCTTAAAGGGCACCACATTTTTCCACCACTTTAGTAGAAGCACTGGAGTTCAAACAAGACTTAATGTACTCCCATGCAAATTGTGATCTACTGTATCTACACAACTATTGTACAGTGTAAATTAATAAATCAAACCAGCAATGATTCAACACCAACTGAGTTGCTTTAGTTTCTCACCAATATTGTTGTGATTCATTTAGGAATCCTAGCTCACTGATTCTGCAGTCCATCTGCATATCTTCTATTATTTTTAACAGTTTATCACATGCCTCCCATTGATCCTTCTGTTATTTTTCTGCTCATCACTATCACTTTTCCCCAATTTAACAAATCAGTAATTAATACACAATACATATATAATATTGTTCCAGTTTTTTAATTTCTCCTTCCACCCAAAATACATTTTTCAATCAGTTCTGTCCCCAGTACTGGTAACTCTGAACAAAGATCAATCAAGTCATACTTCTGTACCGATGATGGGCGCACTGAAAATGCACCCAGTGATCCATACAAAAAGGTATGATGTCTAAGCTACCCTCCCTTTTAGCTCAGCATCAAACTACACCACTGTTAAGAGCTCCAATATGCTACTCGTGTGAAGGGCACTACTTAAATGCAAGTTATAGTTGTTGTAAATAAATAATCTCAACTTCAAACTATCGCAGCAAGTAATCCAATTCTAAATACAGCAACTGCAGGATATATATTTGTTTTTCAGTGATTAACCTTTAAACAAAAGAATATTTTCTTTGTTAAAAGTTGGCTGCTGTGACAATTTTTTTGTGTGAAAAGTTCACTTCACACCTTCTTACATGAACAATCAAGTTGCAAGTTGCAACCTCAGTGAATGAAAAAAAATGTCTGTCCTTATACAGAAGTCAAATGACTGATGCTAGTCTTAAAGTGGCATGCTTCCTTGGGGTTTCACTTGTTGCATGACTAAGACATTTTGCATTGGAGGTAAAAGTCAATAAATGAAAAACTTTTTGTGCTGTGCAACACTTACTGTGGCTGATAAAGGAAGAGGTCAATAATGTTGTCTCTCCCTTTAGGATGGTTGAAGAACACGAACAGTGACCAGTGGATTAGCCACGTCCTTTGCTGAAGAGCCTGGAGAGGTGAGCTAACAGACTGAGAGAAAAAATGAAAACCTCTAAATCCTTAGGTTAAATCGATGAAGAACAAGCATTCTCTGGCTATTAGTTATATCTACCTGCACAAAACTCACTCAAGTTTTTTTTGACAATATAAAAAACATAATTTTTTAATATATTATTTTGTACAAGTTATAATATAAATAATTTATATATTATATAAAAATACAACATTTCACACAAAATATGCCCCGCTACTATTGTACCACCAACCCTCCCACCCCACCAAAGCTCTCGTTCTCAGTCACTGAGTGAAGCATGTTGTGATGTCCTCCCAACTGAAGAGTGCTATATAAATGTAAATTTAATGTAACGGTAAAAATCTGATAAATTCTTTCTTTGTTTACCACAATTTTCAGAATTACATTTTAATTTTTCAAGAATATCTTGTGGAAAAACATACGCAATATTAAAAAAAAATGCAATCAGCTATCAATCCAGTTGTACTATCACCTCAACAAATTCTTACATTGTTATCAATGGTTTCCTTTAGTCGGGTTAGATCTTCCATGGCGGCTTCCCAGTTCTGCATCAAAATTTCTGATGCTAATTTTCCCCAGAGTGAACTGAGAGCATTCCTGTCAGTCGAAGGTACCTGTTGAGAAGCACAAAAAACATTTATGCCAACATAACCACTTTAACTGACTTGAAACGAAATAAATAAAACTTGCATAAGTCTTATCTTTCTTTATACATCGTATAATTGCCGAAGTCGTACATTTACCCGAGTCCCATTTAGTTTCTTATTAAAACCACTTAGATTTCCTTACACTGCTCACATTAAATCACCTCCTAACACATAACACCACTCTTCTACCCTTCATTACCTCCGCACTTACCGGCTGTATTGAATCGCGGGAAATTATATCCTGATCCGTCCATGCATGCACACTTACCAATCACCTGCATTGAATCGCGGGAGATGTACTCTTGATCCTTCGCTCAATGTACATAAGAACTTTGTTTCCCGTGATTCAATGTGATTCCACAACAACAACAACTTGCATTTATATAGCGCCCTCCAAGCAAGGCAGCGTCCAAAAGCACCTAACAATGGTGGAACACGTTGTCCAGGCACGAAGAGAAGGCCTTCAGGCGCAACCTGAAAATGGGGAAAGAGGGGGCAAGGCGAAGGGATTGAGGGAAGGAGTTCCATAGCTTCCTGGCTGAAGGCACAGCCACTAATGGTGGAGCGGAGGATTTGCAGATCAAGGAGGAGGCCGGAGCCAGTAGAGCGGAGGTAGCGGGTAGTGCTGTGAGGAGAGAGGAGGTTGGAGAGATAGGGGGGTGGCAAGGCGTGGAGGGATTTAAACACTAGAGTGAGGATCTTAGAAGTTGATTCCAATGCTAAGTGGGCATGCAGCAAAGACTAAGACGTAATAAATCAAGGGAAATACAGGTTTGACCCATCACCACATGCGCACTTACCAGCTGCAATGACAAACTACCTCCTGCAACTTGGACTTTCCATAAGTCATATTAAATGTTACGGTCCCAAATGTTACAGCTTATGAGTTTTACTGTACTGGATTCCAAATACTGAATGACATGGTCAGAAAAATAGGATAAATGGATCATAAACTAAGTTTTTTCAAGGTAGAGTTCAGCTTAATTCTAGCACATAATGTTAGATATGAAGTTTTTCCATTGTTATAATCCCAAATCGTGTTTTGCTGGTGTATCACCCTCATGATTTCTCTTAACACCTGCAGCTTCAAGTAGGTTTGCACCTATAATTCCCCATTCAGAAAAAGTCGTATTTCAATCAACTGTGGGAAGCTGCAGTTAGGACAATAGAAAAAAGCCATTTCTGCCTTTTTTGAAACAATATAGTAGTTTGCATGAGCCTGGCTTCAATAATCCCTGTTTTTCCTGCAGATAACAGCAAAGAAACAGCTTAGCATTCCAGCTTTGGCAACATCCCACTACTAGACTAGCCACAAACAGGTTCACAACCACTTGGAGCAGCAGGACATTTGGGGAAAGTCAAGGTGGAGTGACCCCTGCCAAATTACAAACACTTCATCAGATTTGTACGGTTCACATGAATAATAATAATATCTGAAATATATCAGAGCAGTAGAACTTTGAACAGAATTGCAGTATCCATTACTTAAAAATTAATTTATATTATGCATCAGAAGTACATAAAATTCTTAATGGATTAGAGAAAGTGAACAAAGAACACGACTTTCTGATATGCTGAAACAGCAGAATAAGAGGGCAGGCTCTTCGTTGTGAAATGCAAGATCAGGATACCAGAAGCACTTGAGTCTTTTTTAAACAAAATTGGGAATCAATTGGGCCCTATCTAGTAGGGCCCAGAATACTGGACTCAATTCTGAGTAATGGAAGAATAGTAGAATTGATTTTCTGGAAGAATGAACCAAAAGATAATAATAATCCTTGCATTTGATAAAGCGCCTTATCATGTTGCCGCGATGTCTCAATCCACTTCACAGGACACTCTGTAAAGTAATCTCGACTGGGTTTTTGTGGGCAAAATGCTGCTGCCAGTTTGCACACAGCAATGTCCCAGAAACCACCATGGAGTGAGTGACCAATTTTATTTGGGGGATTGTTGGCCAGGACACTGGGAGAAACTCCCTTCTCTTTTCGAATAGGGTCATGAGGATCCACCTGATCAGGCAGATGGGGTCAAAAGATCATCTTCTCCAAACCTTTGTTATGAAACATCTGTCACCACTTTCCCAGAATAAAATTCATAATTTTATTTGAATAAAAATGCCAACTGCATGCCTTGAAAAAGTCAGTGGGAACAATAGCCTCAAAATGTTCTGACCGAATCTTGATAATATCTGAAAATAAAGTAATGTAGCGTCTATCAAGATATCTAATTTCATTTGTGATTGGAACAAACTGTTGTATAGAGGCTACTTTTGACTCTCGAGCTATGGATACTTTTTCCTTTGATGACATCAATAGCTAAAAGTGAGTATAACCAAAGGTTAAGACCCTGACGGCAGCAGTCAACACTTCTTCACGTGGTGGTGATTTGTTTCTACTGTGGGAACAATATTGATTTTTGAACGTGAGCTGCATCTAGTGCATACCTTATATATCACATTCTCTTGGCACACAAGAATGGTGTTCTTTTGAGGGTCAGCTGTACACCGGTGCATCAATTGCATAAAATCAGTCAGCTATTCTTTTTGCTTCAGTTGTTTATAAATTAATAAGCATTCTTTGCAGTTCGATTGTGTCATTTAAACATTAAATGGGAAGGAAATGTGTGTGATACAATGATATTGTGGACAGAAATGCAATTAAAATATATCTACAAATCCAGTCCTTAACAACAGATTTGAAAGTAAACAAATCTCAACTCTCAACTTTATGAGAAGCTGACCTGTGCATAACTATTCTCCTGTGGTTGGTTGGGGGGAGCTCATACTCATCCCTGTTGGAAGTGCAGATTTTAGGAGCATATTTTAACTGCATTTTCTATCCACGTGATGAATTACAAGATCACACAGCATTGTTTCCCTTCCTCCCCACATTTGGCTAATATACCCATCAACCCTGCATTCTGCAACTTTGTTAATGCCCATGGATGTTGGAGTAATATAATTATGGAAATAAAGTTCCAAGTTGCTTTTATACCAATAAAAAAAAACATTTTCTTGGGATGAAGCCCTAGTTCTGACCAGGGAGGCATTGCATCTAAAGTTCCTGAATCCTGGTACTTTGGTGATCCTGGTTCGGGGCCTCCCGGGAAACAGGTCAAGAATAAATACCAATGAGTATATTCACCATATGTAGGGAGGGAGGGAAATGTGGCATGCAATGGCAAAAAGCAATTTACATTCTCCCCCTTATGTCTTGAACATATTCAAGACTGAGATAGATATATTTCTTATTGCAAAAGGGATTAAGGGATATGGGGATAAGATAGGGTTATGGTATTAGCTGGAGTTAGATTAGAAGATCAGCCATGATTGAATGGTGGGGCAGACTCGAAGGGCCGAATGGCCTACTCCTGCTCCTACATGTTATGTTATGATTTATAAGACAATTTATGGTCAGTTGTGCAATGCAAAATAGTTTCAATATTTACTAGCATCCAGGACTTGCATTGTCTCAAAAGCAAGCAACATATTTGCCTATTAACCAGCATCAATAAAGAACCACCTCACTATAACCCTGAAGTGAGTTAGTTCTAAAAGTAAGCATGCTTTTTCTCTGTCTCAAATGGTCATAAATTGCTTCAACAAAGAGTCTCAAGTGGTCATTTTTTTGGAAATGAAAATTAAAAGTTATTGCTTCAATTCCTTTGAAATATTTCCTCAAGTCTCTTGTAACTTTCTTATTAAAATATTGTTTTTTTTTAATGTTAACACTATTTACATCAATTCTAACAAAACATGGAATGTTATCAAGTATATTATCAGATAATAATAATAATCCTTGCATTTGATATGGTGCTTTTCAAGTCTTCTGGACATCTCAAAGTGCTTCACAGAATAGACTGTAAAGTGAATTGACTGTATATTTGTGGGCAAAATGCGGCAGCCAATTGCGCACAGCAGTGTCCCACAAACAGTAGTGGATTGAAGTGACCAATTTTTTTTTATCTTGAGGGATTATTATCAGATGTCCTGATAACTTGAACCTAGCTTAACTTGTCACTGCCATTTAAGTCATCGGGCTTTCAATATGCCGGCCGCCTTTATGTATTTACTTATGCCTAATTCGCCACTTCGGATAACTTGTCACCGAGCCCTTTTGCCTTGGAGTGACAACAACAACAACTTGCATTTATATAGCACCCCTTAGCGTGGGTTATCAGGAGACTGATGTTCCAGCAGACAGGATGGGTTGAATTACCTTCTGTGTTGTAAACCTTCTATGAATTCTGTGTTTAATCGTTTGAAATGCACTAAAAAATTTAAATTGCCCCACCTCTGAAACTGTTAAATTAAAATGTTAAATTGCCTCCACCTTTTCCAAACATAATTCAACTTTCATGTACACGAATGGGCAGTCGGCCAACCTAGTCCTGTTCCTTTAAGACATTGCTCTTCACTGACCTTTTGTCAAGGGCCTCAATCTCAATCAGAGTCTTACTTGAGGGTTGTTCTTAGGAATTCTATAACACGCTGCACCACGGAATGATGGGATGTGGATTTGTGCCCATGATTTTCCACACAGTGAGCTTCTGATTTCAATCACTGCATTGTCAGCAGTTGCAATATGAAAAGAGGAAAAACTACAGGAGTGATTGCTCTATTAAAGCTGCAGACAGTGATGTTTTAAACATATCATCTTCATTTGATCTGTGGATGCTGCACACACCAGAAGCTTAAATACTACACTTATCTACAGCCCAAGCGGAAGGATCCTCAGTCAGGATACCTAATATCCTGGAGGCCTTGATACCTAAACCTGTGGGGCCTTGAACCCAGACATAAGTCGTATCAGTTAGGACCATAATATTTAATACGACTTACGTGAATCCGATTCAATCAATAATTTACAATGCGCATGCATAATTCAATGCAGCCAGCAAGTGTGCATGGAGTACTTAGTCACTGCAGCTGGTAAGTGGGCATGCGGTGACGGCTCAGACTACGTTTCTCGTGATTCAATGTATATTGACCCATCGCCGCATGCGCACTTACCGGCAAACATTGGAATTACATTGAATCGCAAGAAATGAAGTTTGTCTGCACTTGCGGCGACGGATCAAGACTAAGTTTCCTGCAATTCAATACAGTAAGTGCGCATGAGTCAACGGGTCAGGACATAATTTCCCATTTTTCCCATGATTCAACAGAGTCGATAAGTGTCAGAGTGAGTGTTATGAGTTAAGAGTTGATTAATATGACTGGTACTAAGAAATCTAAGTCGCTTTGATAGGAAACTGAATGGGACTCGGGTGCATGTACGACTTTGGTGATTTTACAATTAATAAAGATTTATGCAAGTTTTATTGTATATCCTGGAGTCCTGTAGCTCAGTGGTTAGAGCACTCGCTTTGCAAGTGAGAGACCTGAGTTCAATTCCAGGCAGGGCGAAACCTTGGGTAAGTTTCCTTACTCCACACGCCTAATAATAATCCCTCCAAAACAAAACAATAATAAATTGGTCAATTTCAATCCATGACTGTTTGTGGGACACTGCTGTGCGCAATTGGCTGCCGCGTTCGCCCATAAATATACAGTCAATTCACTTTACAGTGTGTTCTGTGAAGCGCTTTGGGACGTCCTCCCGCTGTGAAAAGCGCTATATCAAATGCAAGGGTTATTATTATTATTATTATCCTTGCTTTTCCTCTTCTGATATCAGTGGAGGGAACAGCACTGAATCTCTGCAATGACAACAGTAGAATTCCAGGTCTGGATACAAGACCAAAAGGGAAAATAAATTGGTAGTTTAGTCTTTTCATCTGAGCATTAACTCAATGAGTGAGTAATGTGCCATGGAGACGAAGTCTGCTGCCCAAGAGAACCCAACACCTACACCGTACAACTTCCCAAATCTAAACTATTCCATAAAGATGTCAAATGCATACAATTCTTAATCTGACCTAAACGTATGCATCCTTGCAATGGAACTGTAAGTTCTTGCATTGAGTGTCAAGAAGTACTCACTTTCCAATAAATCTGATGAACACAGCAGGGGTTTCCAAACTGGGGGCCATTTGAATGTTTCATGGGGGCCAAGGAGCCGGGAGTCTTCCCGGAAGTGGAATTGTTGGATTACAGAAACCCACGCAGCCCAAGGAGAGGATGATAAAGGTGTATTCCCCGGCCTCCAGTGCAAGGTATTTAAGGGCAACCTTTTGTGGAGGCTGTGGAGGCCTTGCCTACATGCGAAGCCCTCCATGGCCTCGTCCCACCCTACCTCTGTGTCCTCCTAACCCCCTACCAACTCACCCGTTCCCTCCGCTCAGCCGGCTCTGGCCTGCTCCACGTCCCCCGACCCACCCACCCCACCATTGGCGCGAGAGCCTTCAGCCACTCTGCCCCCAACCGAGCAGAAGCAGGTGCCAGTTGAGCCAGGTGGCGGGTTGGGGAGTAAGGAGGTAAGACAGGGAGTGAATGGATTTGAACACAAGAGTGAGGATCTTGAATTCAATTAATTCAGTGATGGGGAGCCAATGGAGCCTGTCCAGGACGTGAAAACAAAAATGGCAAACTTCAGGGTGCTCAGGCAACTGATGATGTTGATTTTGTGCACTGAAGAAGCATTGCAAGAGTACATTGGAAGAACTGATCAGCAGTTGTTTGGTTGAGATTTTACGGACCCAAATCACTACTTTATAATAGGGCTCAATTGTATACAGCCTTGCTCCTCTCTACCTCTGTGAACTTCTACCCCCTAGCAACCTGTCCACTCCCTCCGCTCAGCGGGTTCTGACCTGCTTCACGTCTCCCACCTTGCCCGCCCCACCATTGGCGACTGGGCCTTCACTCTCTGCCCCACCCCCTGGAACACCATCCCACAGTCCGCCTCACCCACTCCCTTGCCTCCTTCAAGACTCACCTCAAGACTCTCCTCTTCAACCATGCCTTCGGTCACCCTCCTACCCTCCCCGCCCTCCAACCACCCTGATCCCAACCACCAACTCGGGTGCGGATCCCAGACAGTCCAGCACCTTGGGAAGTTCTCCTGACATGAAAGGCGCAAGACAAATGTAATTTGTTGTTTTAGTGACTAAAGTCTGCAAGATGCAAGTTTCAAAACTTTTTTTAGTATGCCAACAAGAATAGGATGCTAACTAATTTTCTCAAAACTTAAAGATTTTTGAAATGCAAGGATTATTATTTTCCAGGGAAGCTATAAAATTACATACAAAACTTCAATTATTTAGAGTCCGAGTTCACTTTTCAATCATGTGTTTCTTAGACTAAAAATTTCAGTTCAGCCAGGAAGGGGTTATAAACAGAAATATTCAGTAATTTTTATTGGCATTGGAAATTCAACATGCCAGACATAACATTATATAGATCTTTTTCTTTATGCAGTTTCCAGCAAAAGGAAGCAATTATTTATCATTTCAAAAAGCGTCAAACGACTCCTGTTGTTTGAGTTGTGATCTTCTGGCCTACATTTCCTCAAGAGAAGCAATATTTAGTCACAGGCAATAAAGTGTTTGGAATACCAATTTTGTATACAACATCAAATTACATTTGCATAGCATCGCAATATCAATATATCCTTTAAGGTCCGTCTCAAATATATAGTCAATTAACTTGACAACGTATTCTGTGAAGTGCTTTGAGACGTCTCAAAAACGTGATAAGGGGCTATATCAAGTGCAAGGATTATTATTATTGCTACCTCTTTGATCACACTTTAGGTCATCTTCCCCTGCCCACTTCAGCTCCAACCCTCTGCGCGCAGGCCCAGACAGTACTATTACATGCTTTGGGAAGTCCTCCCGACGTGAAAAGCACCATATAAATGTAAATTTCTATTGTATTCCACTCTTTTAAGTAAATTGAAAGAAACCAGAAAGAAGGATTGAAACCAAAGGTGTGCAGAGAGTAAACTTCCCCTAAACACAAATTTGAATGAAAATATGGGTCTGGGTCTGAAGACATCCTATCACAGATTAATGAATTTATTTTTGCTGGTTGCAAAATTTAGTCAAAAGCAATATATAAAGTAGTGTACTTAAATTGTGGGCTGGTAGGCATTAGATCCAGATAAATCTTTATTATATTAGTTAATAAATGTCAAAAAGAAAAAAGACTTAACAAATCAATAATTCTGGAAGGCAAGACAGCAAACTCTGATTAGCACAGGAAGAGGTACTTACCAGAACTCTGAAAAAGTAGAGATATTCTGCTGCTCCAGAATAATTACCACACTCATACTGGAACTTTGCATATCTGTAGAGTGTGTCCAGGTATTCCTGACGGAACTTTAAACAAAAGATACTATAAATAATCCATAGAGAAACAAGATTTTAACCGAAAAGGCACTACCTCGGGGAGGGATACTTAACGTAACTGTGCAAACAACTGAATGGGAATTGCAACATCCGATTGCAGTGTTTGAAAAAGGCTATTTTTAAAAAATCAATAACAACAACTTGCATTTTTATGACGCCCTGCACACCGGGCGGGTGCACCTTACGATACACTTCCCCTTACAATCCAATAACTAATAAGTCAGTCATTGCTGGTGTACATTTGGTCTCACCTTTCGGGTCACATACCGCTACCGACATCTAAAAAGAAACTTAATTTGCCAGCTTGGTAATAAAAGACATGAAAAGCTAGATCAGTCAAACAAAGGTATTGCTTGCTCCTTCAGCATGCAATGCAGTACACTATTACAAAATAATTAACTAGAAGTTAAGTTAATTGAAATCTGTTAACGCTTTTTAGGAATGCACTAATGAATCAGTAATATCTTTTGGGGGAAATTATCAGTAACCTTTATTCATCAATTGTACTATAACATTTAAATATTAACACATTATCTGTGATAAGCATGCATAGATGTTCCAAGACTTACCCCATGCTTATCAGCTAAGTAGTCAAACAGCATTCGTCCATCCCTGTTAAAAACAATGTCATATTTTTAATATATTTAATAATAATAATCCTTGCGGTTGATATAGCGCTTTTCACGTCTTCTAGATGTCTAAAAGCGCTTCACAGAATATACTGTAAAGTGAATTGACTGTATATTTGTGGGCGAAATGCAGCAGCCAATTGCGCATAGCAGTGTCCCACAAACAGTCATGGATTGAAGTGATCAAATTATTATTATTTATTTTTNCTTGAGGGATTATTATCAGGCGTGTGGAGTAAGGAAACTTGCCCAACGTTTTGTTCTGCCGGGAATCGAACCCAGGTCTCTCGCTTGCAAGGCGAGTGCTCTAAACACTGAGCTACAAGACTCCTAGGACTCATATTTCATATGACTTAAGAATACAGTGTAAAATAGCACTATTTACTGACTGACAGGTTTAGACAAAATACTTTTATGACAATGTGCTTAAAATAAATTGTCTAAGCAGCTCAGGATTTCAATGGAACTGAAGTTATTACACGTAATTTCCACCAGGACTTATACTGTCACTATGTCACTACTGTACCACAGTATACCAGGCCCCCACGCCCCCCCCACCACCCCACCATCTCTAGCTCTCTCTCTGTGTCCTGTCAGTTTCTCTAAAACTCTTTCTCTGATTTCTCTTCATCACACTTTGTTTGTCATCACGTTGCAAAGGTGGAATTCAACAAAAACTCCCAAGAAAATCTGCAGTTCTATTCTGTCAACTGATATGGAATTTGTGTATAATTGTGGCTGTACCAATTGTTAATCTAATTTCAGAATAAGTAATTACAATGATAGAGAGGGTGTTTAAAAACGATAAGCTCACACAACTTTTTATAATGGTTTCATAGCCCTCTCTTTGTAAATTATTCCCTAGAAAAGGGATAATTTGTAATAGGTAGGATATGAAACCCAGAAATAAACAAACAGGAGATTCCAAATCATGGGAAAGCCACTTTGGAGATTGACTCACTGAAATCAGCTTTGAACACAAACCATTTAAAACTTTATTCATAAATTTCTGTTAACAGCATTAGGGTTACACTTCCCCTTAATATTTCATAATCCAACAGTCAGGTGCTGATTTTGTACTGTATTGAATCAAGCATAGTCACTCCCAGAGCTCTGGAACACGAATCAAAGACAACATCAGTCAGCCTAATGGTACTACTTCTGAGACGAAGCACAATTATATGTGGACTTAACTTCAAACATACAAGCTGCTCGGGGGCATCAAACTACTCTTAAAACGGCAGCAAGAACAACCGGATAAGGACAACCATACATAAAATAGTTGTCATCAGCCTGTCATGTGCTTTAGAATGAATCCCTGTAAACTGAGAGTTTTGCCCATGTGCATCACAGTGTGTAATTTATAAATGGCTTCTGGACATGAAAAGGATAATGAGGACCACCTGTTCAGCACGTGACAGTACCATCTCACCAGTTGAGGGTGATGAATGCATTGTCTGAATCCTTGGTTACCCCCTGTTGATTTATTTCAAATGTGCTTCCTTGCAAAGAAAGGGGAAGGAAAATAATTAAGACTTTAGAAACAAAATAAGCAAATCTTTTTTTTGAAATACAGGGCGTTCAAATTATTTTCTGTAGTTTCATTGGAGATTTGTATCAAATTTCAAACTGTTTGAAAGAGAAATGCTACTATAACCGAATGGAGAGCAACATACAAATCTGTTACAAGGCATCCTGATAAGTTAGTCAACAACAGTGAAGTTCTTACAGTTTATAGTATCAGAATAAAAGCACATCAAACCTGTCTCAAATATTGCTTCCTCTCTCTCTCCACCCCTTGTTTGCTAATGTAATAATTTAATGCACTGCATTTTAAAATACATCCCTACATTTAATTGTTAGTATTGGGCTTGGGCTCCAGAGCTTAGGTCTCAATGCATGGAGATTCAAAATAAAATTCCTTGAAGTTTCATTAGCTCTCAGCTTCACTGGCAGATGGAGAGCCTCAAAGAAATTAGAAGTCTGCACTGTTGGAAGTGTGGTCCTTTGGATCAGATTTAAAACATAAAACCATCTGGCTGTTCCGGTGGCTCCAATCCCATGGCACTACTTTGAATATCGGGATTCTTCCATTGTGTTGAACAAAATTACTTCCTAAATTCCTCATAACAGATTATTGGTCATTCATGTGGGATGTTGCTGTTGAAAGCTGCGTTTCTTGGAAGATTTAGGAATCGTACATACAGTAGAGCATTGTCTCACCCAAGTGAGACTGTGAATCAACAGCATGAGGCAGAGATCTGATGCAGTTGAATACAAGATTAGAGAAAGACAGATGTACACATACAAAGAGATGGTTAGAGACAGACAGAAACAGAGAAGTAGGCTGATACTGTGTGTATAACAATGACAGTATAACTCCTGATTGAAGGTTTTCGATTAGTTCTATACATTGTAGTTTGAATGACGTTCTCATATCCACAATTGGACCATTCACAATTAGTGTGGATCTTGAGCTCTTTACCATACAACATTATATCCAGAAGAACTCAATTATATCTGAAAAAGTGCCACTGCATTGAAGCCACCAGGACAGCTGGAGGATCTTTGGTTTTAAAGTCTGATACACAGGACTGAACCTCCAATAATCAGTCTTCTGATCTCTTTGAGGCACTCCATACATAACTGTATAACATTTCCATAATTGTACAACATTTCAAAGCAACAGTGTGAAGCTCTTTGAGATGTGATAATTCCTTACATCAAAGTATTACTACTACAATCATGTTGTGAATAACTATTTCACCTTTCAGGCCAAAATCCCACTGAATGATCAATAGATAAATCTAAGCATTTTGGAAACTGTCAAACTTTAGTAAAACAAAAACAACTTGCATTTATGTAGTGTTTGTCACACTGCGTAGAGTCCCAAAGCACTTGCTGGTAATTTAGCAATGAGGGGTTAATCGTGAAACAGAATTACCTCTTATTAGGCCTATACAGCATTAAGCATAAGGAACTTCTACAGATTTAATTTGTTAAATAGAGTATAAATGGAGAGCAACAATATAAAACTAGAATAAAATGTATACAAATACCAAAGCAGTCAGGTGGACCATTGTTGTTTTTAATTTTATACACCTAAAATATGTTGCACTAATCAAAATGCAAACTAGTATTCTCACTCATCAGGCTACACTACCAATTTTCTGCTGGAAAACAGGCTTCCTAAGCCAAGTCACAAAACTGTCACTGTTAAGAACATTTCTTTCTTCAAAGACTTCCAACTAAGTAAATCCAGAACCTTTGGCGGTGGCTTGATGAAAGCTGTAGATTACCCTTTCAAGCCTACTTTTTCGTATCCTGCACAGCTTCTTGCAGGAAGCACTAAATTCATTTAAGAGAACATCCTCAGAATCGGAATTAAAGACTTAACTGAGGATGTTTCTGGCACAGAACTGGAAAATGTCAGCGAACAGCTTGTAATGTCATTATTCTGTACTTATTAGATCGATATTTAATGAGATAAATGACCTGCAATAGGTTTCATAGTACATACAGAATATTACATTTACAGTAGCTCAAAAAAACTATTGAAAATCAATTGAACATGGAGTCTTAAATTTTTTTAAAAAAAACTAACTTACAAGAAATTACTATTAACTTACATATAAGTGGCGAATATGTATTTGAGGGAACTGATTTGGAGGAGCTGCCAAACAAATCACACAAGGGAGTCAATTTAAAATCAATAGGAACGGAGGCATAACTTTATTTTGGAGCCACAATCATGTTAGTCAAACAAAATAGAACAATAGAACCACATTAAATGTTAATAAAGAACCAGGCCACTCGGCCCAACTAGTCTATGCCAGCATTTATATGCCACAACTCCTCCGGATTCCTTCTCTACATCCCTCTATTCGCTCGTCCTTCACGAATGCCCTTCTCCCTCATCCTCTCATTCATTATGTCAAACTCATTAACTCCTTCATTCTAATTCCTGTAATTAGACTATCTGCATTCATCAGCTAAACAGCTAACGTACTTCTATTTGGCTTCACGACTTCTTAAAATTAGGGAGTTGTTAAAGTGTATAACTTTCCGTTGATGCATCTACACAATTTGCTGGGATAAAAATAAACACAAGGGAAAGATCAGGTAATATTCTTTTTTAAGGAGCTACTGTAAGCATATTTCAAAAAACTTCAAGCAGGATCTATTGGTCATAAGTAAGTTACTGATTTTAATTAAAACAATAAAACTCCTATAAAGCTCTCAAAAAGTGCAACTGGGTAAACTGAAGGATATTTGTTTACTCAGTACTAATATTTGTATTAATTGTTTGTGGATTAATGTCGCTCCTCACAAAATGAGAAATACAGCATTACTTTGGGAAATTGAATACTTTCCATATTGAGTATCTATCCTAAGACTGGATAATAATGTAATAATAATCCTTGCATTTGATGTAGCGTCTTATCGAGTTGTCTCAAAGTGCTTCACAGAAAATACTGTAAAGTGAATTGACTGTATATTTTGTGGACAAAACAGGCAGCCAAATATGCACTGCAGTGTCCCACAAACAGTCGTGGATTGAGTGACTAAATTGTTTTTTGAAGGGTTTCTTAACCCCAGATAAGCGAACTAACAATCGACTAACAACCAGGTTTTTACTCACTGCTAGGTAAGCAGAGGCGTGTGGAGTAAGGAAACTAGCCTACGGTTTCGCCCTGCCTGGGAATCGAACCCGGGTCCTCTCACTTGCGGGGCTAGTGCGCTAATGACTAAGTGGCATGTCTCCACGTATCTGCACATATGGACAAAAGGAATGTGGATGTTGCTCTTTCAACAAAATTATGTATGGGAAGATCTGATTAGAGATGGTGTAACATCTATACACAGACCAATTTTTGGTTGGTGGAAGATAAGAGATAAATTTATGGCTAAGAGCTGAAATAGAACGTTTAGTTAAAGGAACATGTTGCCTGATGTACCTGCTTCTACATCTGCCTGGACCAT